TGATCGGCTCTCCTCGCGTGCAGAAGCGGCCAAAGTCCCCAGCACCATCACTCACTTTTCCTGGGCGGTGGCCAATGGCAAAACTCAAAATAAATATTTCCCTGGCCTCCGGCATCACCCGCCCCGCGCTCGACAGCAGCTGCAGAGGATTAGCGCGGCCCTGGAGGTGTAAGCCCTCCACGAAGACGGCAACACTTGGCCCAAGACTTCCAGAAAGACACAGAACAGGAGGTAGAGAGGGCAAGCAGCAGAGTTTGGCCCAGATTTTCTTTTTTTTGATTCCTGTGTATCACATCCCTGAGCAGAGCCCTGTGCTTTGTGTCAGGGTCCTCTTAATAGGAAGGGGACAAGGAGTGTGGGGAAGGCCACAGGCAAGGACAGAAGCCCGTACCAGTGTCCTGCCACTCTCCTGGGCCGGGCTCTCACCCCGACTGCTCCTGTCCCAGCGGCGCAGCCCACGGCCACGGCCAGCGGCCCCAGCTCCGTCCAAGCACGCCGGCTCCCGGGCCCAGCCCGGGGAGGGTCACTCGCTGGCCCCTGGCTCCACAGGGCTGCAGCCCTTGCCCTCGCCGTCTTTCGGCAGCAGAGATTTCAAAGGGAAGCTTCGCCTTTGATGTAGAAAGCAGGCTCCCAGCACTCAGGCCCCCATCAAAGCACCCAAGCGCGGGACCTTGCCCCAGCCAACGGAGGAGGAAGGTGAAAAGCCGGCGGAGGCAAGGAAAACTCATCTCCAGGCGGGCCCTGCTCCGCCCCGGGTTGAAGCCAGGGTTCCCCGCGAAGAAAGATTCCTTTCTCTCCCACTAGACATGGACTGCAATAAGGCCTCAAGCAGGAAGGAAGGAGCAGGCCACCCACAGAAAGGTGAACAAGGAGATATTTAAGACCTTTTTTCTGCAGCCTGCCTGCCCGGGAGCACGCAGGCGGCAGCCGTCCTCGGGGCAGACCCCCCATCTCTGCACCCACCTGCTTCCCGCCTTCCTCCGCTCCTTCCATGCAGGAGGATGTCGTGTCCCAGCCAGGCCAAGAGCCGTAACCGAAGCAGTAGGAACCTGGGTGCTGCATTGCAGGAGTTCTACTGGTGCACATTTACTCTAGGAAACAACTGCGGATGGGGTGCTGATGACATCGTGGCCCATCCGCCAGCAGCAGCCTCTTCTCCCACGGGGAAAGCATCCAAACGTCACTCGCCTTCAGTGAGCCAGTTAAAACTTTGATGGGAGAGGGGGATTAAAAGAGGAAGATTTTTGAAGAACGTTGCATAAATCCACCACCAAATGGCCCTAAAGGAAAGACCCGGTATCTGATGATGCTCCACTCTGTGCAGCACGTAAACAGGAAGATTCAGTATTTTGTTTCCTATTAAAAAATATACAGAGGGCCCACGTGGATGTCAGGGTTTGCGGTTGGGAGTTTATTCCAGCAAATCCTCTGGCACAGCTCCTGGAGGTCAGGCAGGAACTGGCAGCAGGGCCCACCTAACCTCTCCGCAGAGGCACCCAGCACAGGGGCCCAGGGAGCCCAGCCCCTCTTCACGCATCCAGGTCACCCGGAGCAAGCCTGACTCTTCCAGCACAATGCGCAGCTCCAGCACGGTCCCCGGCAGGGCAGGGGAAGGCAGCAGCGGCTCCGGGTGAGCGCTCGGCCACCAAACCCTCCCTGCTCATGAGCGAGGGTCTGGGGGAAAGGATGCACACTTTACCCTGCCAGGGTCTGATGGATTCCGGCCCTGGCAAGCTTTGCAAACATGGCAGGAAAGCCTCGCCGCGGACTTCATTAAGGCCGATCCTTGGCACACGATACAGTGTGATTCCACTTAACAAGTCTCAAGTCCAGCCAAGCCTTGACAGATGTTAAAACAAAATGGATAGTGCCTTCCCAGACAGGCTTCCTTGGCTTTGGCTCCTTAGAGCTACCAAGCTATTCAGCTGCTATAGAAATTGGAAGAGTCTTCTCCACAAAGCCTTCTGCAAGTGCAGTCCAGCACCATGTGGCAGCACGGGGTCAGCACCTTCCGTTCAAAGCCCAATAGCTCTAAAGGTGCAAAGAAGGCAGCGGCATTACAGGTGTCCCGAGAGCTGGCCACGGAGGCAAAGCGGCGTCCGCACAGAGGAGCTGTTGACCATGGGGCTGCACAGGCATGCCAACCCTTTACACCAGGTGGAGAGTCAGCAGTCAGGATTCAACCTAGAATCTGGGGCGGAAGTCCCCCAGCAGGCTCTCCTCCTCCTGCGAGAGACCAGCTTTGTTTTATGGGACAACAAGGGAAGTGAGGTCTTCCCAATTCGCTGCGCAGCACCAGGGAAGGATCAGCACCCGCCTCAGGTACCCACCCACCAGAGTAGCTGCAGGGTGCTTGGCCCCAGGGAGGAAAGGCAGCAGCTGCTCCCAGACTCTGTTACTGGCGGAGGCCTGCAGCCTCCCCTCTGCAAAGCCTTTCCACAACAAAAGCGGATGGGTTTTGAGGCAGGGAAGGGCAGCTTCGGCACAGGAAAAGACTTCCGCTCTTGTTATGCTGCTTTGCTAAACCTCCTCTTTGATCCCTGGGGAAAAGGACATTTTGGCAGCTGGAAGGCTATTGTGTGCCTCTTGCTATAAGTAGCTGCTGAAGGCTTGGTTGAGAGCTGGACCGAGTTGTTTAACTACACAGCAAACAGAGCTGAGCCCTAACAGGCAGGTAAGGCAAATTTCTCACTGCTGGGAAAACGGCTTCAAGCAAGCAGGGAATGAAAAACCCATTTCTGTGTACTAAAAGTAAACAGCGTGGAGTTCTTGTCATAGGAAGAGTACCACAAGCCTCATGGACTGGAGACAGATCCTGACTCCTCTATGGAAACCTTACGATTTTTCCTCTCACCAGATTGCTGTTCTTCACATCTGTGCTATCCCTTAAACAGCAAGGCTGCCAATCAAAGTCAAATTCAAAGGCAAATCCTAACATCTGGGTTCCTAAAGAAATTCCTCAGCACTTTCTGAAGCACGGCCACGTGCAAGTTAAAGGATCCAGCACAGGAGGAAGAAGCCAGGAGCAGACGTACAGTCAAGTGTTTAATAACTTTCCAGGAGCGAATATTACATCCGTATATAGAGCACATACAAAATGAGAGATGGAAAACAAGGAGAGAAAAAAATAAAATTGGTATCTTCGAGACGGCACACTTAACCCTGCAGTTCCTGCTGAATCCCCTCTTTGGAGGCACAGGGGCCACTTTGAGCAACCCCTCTGTGCAACACCAGATCAGGTACCAGCCCCCTGCAGTGTTTAGGCTCAGCACTTTCAGAACAGCTAGGAAAACTCTGATTCTGTACAACTCGCACGCCAACAACACAGTCCCAGACCTGTTACATGGTTAATTGTGTCCTGTCCAGAAGAGGGATAGCAGATGAATCGAAGTTACCCTAGGCAAGGTGAGTTGATCTAAAACTTGGTCTCAGCAGGGCCTTCTCTTCCACCTGATTTTGTTTTCCTACTGACCACAAACATTACTCACATCTCTTCCCAACGTGGTGTTATTGCTGGACAAAGCAGGGAGAAGAAAGGAGACACTTGTTAGACTCGGCGGCACCAAGACAACCATACTGGGAGGGATCCAAGCATTCCCCAGCCACCCCTGGGAGGCTGCTACAGCCCAGAAGGCAGCGACAGGTTCCCCAGAGGTGTTACCTACTGTTAACACGGCCTTCTACCTCCCACTAAGATCAGCAGCCAACATCCTCCCTCAGCTCCTTGAAGCTTTGCCCAGGAACCTTCTCTGCTAAAAGAAGCGTCAGCACTGGGACAGGCTGGCCCTGGCAAAGAAGGCGCTTCCTCACAAGCCTCAAGACTGCTGCCAACATGCCAGGGACCCCGCTCCCACCATCGTAAGAGCGGAGCTTGGCACCTCCTCCCACTGCGGAGCCACAGCCTTGCCTACCCCCTTCCCACCGCATCGCACCACCATCTGCACTGGGCAGGGAAGAGATCAGAGGGGAGTAAGGCTGGCCTAGAGGGACACAAACAGCATCTCCGCTGGAAGACAAAACACGGAGCTGCAGCTAGCTCCGAAGAGCAAAGCCACTGTGCTGAGTCACGGGTGAAAGCTCCAGAAAGATGCTGGGAGGCTGTCACCGTGCCCAGAGTCCTTCAACATGAATAGGAAGGACGTGGGGAGCAGCTGCACAGCTCGCCCTGCTCCTAGATGGGAATGACAACCTCCACGTGTTTTGGCAGGAAAGCCACTCCACAAGGCACCCCCGACAGACTGCTCACCCTGGCAACAGCGAGGGTGCTCCCCGGCAGGTGGCCAGAGCTGGTAAGAGCTCTGCTGCTAGGAGAAACTCCGGACTGTGAAGGCAGCGGGAGGAGGAAGACGACGAATGCTAGCCTGGCCCGGCTGCTGCTCCCACCCGCCCTGCCCACGGCTAGCTCACCTTGGCCTTGTTCTGCACAGGCAGATACAGCTTGAACTCAGCTGGGAGCTCGTCTTCCGAGTAGAGCCGGTCAGAGAAGTAGACCCGTCGGATGCGACAGTTGGCGTGGATCTGAGAGACAAAACAAGGAGTCAGTCCATCTTCCATGTGCTCTTTCCACACCCAGCTTCGCTGCCATGCAGCGGCCCGGATTCCCTGGCTCAGCAGCTGGAGAAGAGACCTTGCTGCCTCTCTTCGAATCTGACAGGACAGCAGGGCAGAGCTGCTGGCCCACACCCTCTGCTTTGCATTAGATGCTCTCTCCAGCGACGCCAGCCGGCTCAAGAGATTTGGCCAAGCTTTGGCACCTCCACAAACCGAGATCTGCCTTAGCTGCTTAGAGGGTTCTTTGCTGTGAACCCACCTCTGCTTCTGCACTGGTGTCAGCATTTGCCACAACACTCCTCGGCCTCAGCTTGCTGCATTTTTAACTCTTCCCTCTTCGGGGCCTCCCTGAGGTCAGGAGCGAGACTGTCCAGTCCCCAACCAGCTGGCAGCGAAGGGACTGCTCCAGTCCCCATCTCAGCTACGCGAGAAGGCAGAAACTTCCCAGCTGACTGCCTGCTCATCTCAGGGCAACCCCACGAGGAGCCGCAGCAGTCCCATCACACTGAGGAACAGGCACGCTCTGCACACAGGCATTCCTCAAAGTAACGCACGCCATGGGCACGGCGAACACGAATCCCTAGCACATGGAACAAGTGCCACATCCCCAGCAGGAACAAACGCTGCGTCAGCTCTGGTCCAAGGGGCTTGGTGAAGGCAGGGTCTCTCCACCAGCACCGGGAAACAAGCTTGACCGGGGATATGTACAGACAACAACACCCTGGGTCTTCACCAGCCGGGCTCCCACCCAGCCGGCTGCTGCCTGGCATATCTGGACAGTAATTAGCGCATGGCTAATTCCCAGCAGACCTCCTCCCAGCAGGATGCGTGGCACGCCACAGGGAACTTTAGGTGGCCTGCAACTCTTACCCTAACCAACAGCCAGCAAGAGAAACAAGGTGGAAACGGGCTCTTTCATCCCAGTCCAGCGAAGCAAGGCAGCACCAAGCCCACTGCTGCCGCAGTCCGGCCTCTGCTCCCCTCCCACAGTGCTCTGCCAAGAGCAGGACTGGCAAAGCAGCCAGTCGGGGCTAAAACCCGGATTCCCAATCTCCAGCCCGCCCCTCCCAGGCAAAGCCCCCAGCCGCTGGATTCTGTAGGCAGGACATGCCTGCTTCTCACCTGAACTCTCAGCGTCTCGATGTAATTTGTCCCGTAAGCCCGGCGTGTGAAATCCGACAAGTTGAACTGGATTTGGTTCCAGCCGTCGTCCAGCCGCATGGGCATGGTGCAGATGAAGGGCTTCACCCGAGTCGTGCTCTGGTAGTTACTCGCCCGGAAACGCCGGCGGACGTTCTTATCATCCAGCACCTGGGGCAAGGAAGGCAGGCTGCTGACCCCGGCGTCAGGAGCCCCAGCTCCCCGGGGCAGCAGCTGTTCCAGACTCAGCTCTACCCACCTCAGAGAGGGCTCTCCTACTCCCACCCCTCCACAGCAGAAGTATTTTTAATGCAGGCAACAGAGCCATTTTCAGGAATAGCAACAACACGTTTGTGAGCTGACTGATGCCCCCATAGCAGAAGACCTGACACATCACATGGCCAAGAAAGCAAAACTGTTTTGGGGACCACATGCTGCCTGGGACAAGTTCCAACACAAGACTGCAGGCCCCCCGGCACCTTCCTCACTGGTCCCTGGAGGGGCCTCCCCGCTGCACGTTCCTCACCTGCACTTCAAACGTGAAGTATTTCTTCAGGTTCTTGATGATCATCACTAGGAAAGGTAGTTTGATGCCCAGGGTCTTCTTTGGGTCAGCAGGGCACGTGATGTAGGTGGTACTGAGAGGGACAGAAAAACACTTTAGGACCTCCCACGGCACAAAGCGCACAGCCTGAGTCGCAGGTCTCTCCTTTGACCTAACGGAGTCTTGGAGGACAGGCAGAAAAACATAGCTGTGATCGTAAGACCTCAGCAACAACCAGGGCATTCTGTAACAGGAGGGAGAGTTTCAGAGGCAGCTGCAGGGAGAACAAGATAAAAGGCCCAAAGGATGCATTTCAAATCCCACTTTCCTCACCCAGGGCATGAAACACCTTCCTGGCCAGCTTCACCTCCCCAGTTTCCAGGCCACGTCAGCACCGTTTCTTAACAGAACCTCCTCCTACCCTTGACTGAACAGGTAGAGCCCTCCAGAGCGCAGCAGAGGCCCTGGGTGCTCTATATGGCTGAGAAAAGAGAGGTCGTGAGCCCTAGAAGTACACGTCACGCCTGGCAAGTTCTGTATCAACACATCTTGGGAGCAAGAGAAGCGTTGGCTCAGCCTGTCTGCAGGAGAGGAGTCTCCGCTGCCCTTATAAGGAGCGCCCTGCTCTGAATCACCCCTGGAGAAGCCTTGGAGACTCTGAACCCGCTCCTGGAGCTGGCGTCTCTCTCCCCGGTCGACGGAGACGAGGTTGCTAAGTGAAGCGCCATAAGCAATTCCCCTCATAAATCTCCCTTTGATCTTCCTGCTGCCAGGAGAGCTGCTGTCACGTGGGGAGAGCAGCAGAGCAGGCCTCAGATAATAAAAGATGCAGAAGGCAGAGTGCTGCCTTCTCAGTAATTGGCAGCACTGACTGGGGACTGGATATCAAATACAGCTTTTTTTCCCCCCCAAGTGATGGAAAAATAATGGGGCTTTATTTTTTACCCCTTAGCCCCACTGAGGATGACAGAGCGCTCTGTGTCCAGGGAAAGGCAGGGTGCAGTGCCACAACGGCGTATCAGCAATCTGACCCCAGATCGTATTCTTCAATTTATTGACAAAGAGATCGCAGCAGAGTCTGAAGGAGACACCTGCTGGGCACCGACACCTTTCACGCTGCTCCAGGGCCAAGCCCCCAGGGCACACGAGGGCAGAAGACGACATCTTCTCCTACCTGACATTAGTTCCTTCAATCTCCAGCACCAGCGACTGAATGTCGTTGTCGGTGATTCGCTTGATGTGACCATTGCGCACCTGGAAGAAGAGTGGGGCAGACAGCACGGACATTACTCGAGAGGGAAACAAGAGGCGCCCACAGCTCCAGTGAGAGGGGGGGGAAAAAAGATCGCAGGAGGACCCATCTGCGTTCACTTGGCTCCTCTTGTCCTGGACATTGCTGTTCCCAAGGCTTTGATCACCACCCTGGAGTGCCAGGACTCCAAGCAAGAGTTTACGGCCCAGCATGCTGCACGGACACCGAGTGCAAGGCTTCCATCTATCAAAATATGCTACAGCGAACGCAGGCGACTCAAGCCTCCTGTCAGAGGCTCACATAAACACACAGAAAAGTGTCAGAGCAAGATCAAGCTAGAGTGGGATAAGGGGTAAAAACAAGCACGAGCAATACAGGGGCAAGCAAAGGGAGCCACCAGCCAGCCACCAGTCACTAAAGGGTCAGCGAGCAGGGCAGGGCTGACTGCCTGCGGAAGAGCGGGACCAGATGGGAGCTGGGTTAAAATTCTTCATAATTACAGCGCACGCAAGCACAGAGCCACCGCCTGCTCTGCTGAGGGGCACGAGGATTTGGCTACTCGGATGCAGCCAGCTCCCCACAGAGCTCAGGGAGGCCAGGGCCAGAACCAGGAGCCAATGTAAATGCACTTTTCTCCGCAAGCAACGTGGCCGAATCCCAGGGTCTGAGGATTTATTTTTTTAATGAAGCGGCTCACTTCCTGTCAAATTTATCTCAATTTAAAAGGCACTT